CGTGGAACAAAGATGAACACTAAATCTGGCGAAGCCCAGCGCGTCTCCTCAAGATCCACACACTGCCATTCAACGTCGGACAATTCTAGTAGGCTCGCCGCATCAGGCAGTCACACTGCTGTATTGAATGGGCCGCGGTATTGAAACCATAGCGCTTGGATGAAGTCCTCGACCACAACTATCAAGAAACTTTTGAGACTCCAGTATAATGAAAGACCGAGTAATTATACTTATTGTCAATGAAGAATTTTCTTTCGTTTTGTGATAGTCCGCAACCCTCTACCCTTTAACGAGCCAATACGGTCGTCGATTTTAGCGCAGGGAAAGGTTCTAGCAGTGCGCTTCGCGTCCCTTCGCCAACTTTTTGGCTCGTTTTGTGGAGGACCCCTTTGAGGAGTTGACGTGGGAAAAACCTCACAGGACCAGTTTGCCCCATTTCTCTGCCACCTGGTTTCTCGCCTGCGAAAGACGCAGACAAGCGTCCAAGCAGCAGACAGGTCGGTGCAAGAAGTAAAGGCCTCGACATTATCCCACGCTCGGAAGAGACACGATTTTGACATCATACCACTCTAACTGCGATCTGCGGGAGCCACCGCGTGCTACAGCACACACACTGAAGCCATTCAAGTCTTCGCTTACCCACCCATGGCTTGGGTGTCCTGGTCTGCTCTGAATTTTGGCGCCATATTGTACGCCGTCGACATTGCACTTCAAGCAGGCCGGTCGCCAATCGCCGGCACACTCGCCAAAATGACGTTTGGCAACCTCGTATCCTTCCCTCTTCTTTCTAGTATGTATGCGGAGTAGTCGCTATCAGTTGGACGGAATTCTGCACACTGCCAGACAGACGATTTAGGCCCAGCAATTGTCGAGTACACACGAGTAGCTTTCGCGTGGCGTCCGGTCACAACATGAAAAAGGCCTCAACGAACATTGTTGGGCTTCAAGAACGTACAGTGGACTTATGATGGTCCACCAAATAGAACCGCAACGGACCTTGAGCTTTCTCAACTTCAATGCGCCGCACCCACAAGCGACTACAAGATCTCGATCCATTCTCCAATTTTCTTTTGTTTGCACAATGAGCACCGAAAAGTACGCAGAAGTGAGCACCCCCGTCGGTCACGCCGACCTCGAGGACGCTGGCAAGAAGGTCCACGGCAAGCCCAACTCGTTCTTCCAGATCTGTCTCCTCGGCCTCGTCCTCTTTGGCTGCCCTGGCATGTTCAACGCCATCAACGGTATGGGTGCCGCCGGCCAAGTCGACGCGACCGCTGGCTCCAACGCCAACGTTGCTCTCTACGCGACGTTCGCGTCCTTCTCGATCATCGCCGGCTCGATCCACAACGTGCTCGGCCCCCGCCTCACGCTCTTCCTCGGCGGTCTTCCGTATGTGCTTTACATTGCTTCGCTTCTCA